GACTGCTCTTTTCAAATTTACTAACAACGTAATCGCAGCTAAATCCATAGGCCATAACTCCACACTAATTTTTCTTGACCTCTCTGCTGCCTTTGACACCGTTGATCATGCTCTCCTTCTCCAAACTCTTCAATCACTCGGTCTCTGTAACTCTGTCCTCTCGTGGTTTTCCTCCTATCTCTCCGAATGCTCATTCAGCTTCTCCTTTTCTAATGACACCTCCTAAGGACTTCTCGCAGGTGGGTCCCTTCCTATGGAATAGCCTGCCTACTGCCATCCCCTTGTCTTCAATCATTTAAGAAGTGCCTTAAAACCCATCTCTTCAGGAAAGCTTAGCCTCCCAGAGTAACCTCTACCTTACATACCTGTCTCTTGCTCTCTCCTGTAGGGCAGCACTCTCTTCTCTCCTCCAGCTCTGTTTCCCTCCCACCTTATTTGATTGCTATTTCCTGTCCTAATGTATTTTATACCCCACCTCCGATAGACTGTAAGCTCTTTTGAGCAGGTCGCTCTTCAACCTATCGTTCCTGTAAGTTTTCTTGTAATTGTCCTATTTATAGTTACATCCCCCCTCTAATATTGTAAAGTGTTAAAAGTGCTACGGAATCTGCTGGCGCTATATAAATGGCGATAATAATAATAATTTAAATCAGACATGCAGCAGCATTCAGTCCATGTTTTATTCCCGTTATTGGACTATTCAAGATTATGGAGATAAAACGTTGATATAAGATGTTGCACATCTGATCAGAATAAAGCAGCTCTTTTGTTTCTCCTTCCTTTCCCATACTTCACTATCTACAAGGTTTGGGAATCCTTGAACCAGTTACTGCAGCCCATATCCATCCTGTGTTAATACTATAGTGAGCTTTGGTGTAAAAAATGTCCAGGGCTGCTTTTTATCCAGACCGGCCCTGATTCTAAACACCATAAACACTTTGTGTTACTGCGCTGTGTATGCTGCTTAGAGTACACTGAGGGACACACTATGTCAATGTTTTCAATTCTTTTTTACTCGTTATCTCTGTCTATAATGTCTATAATACATAAACTACGTGCTAATTTATTTTTACTCCCTTTTTAGCTCAGTATAAAATTACCTATGGAAGTAGGAGATAAGTTGCATAAGAACTTGTTCAATGGTAACAGTTTGCGGAGATGCTTTATGTTTCTGGAGTCCGTCACACTTGTAATGGTTTATAAAAGTGCTGATTTCAATAGAATTCAGTATGTCTAGAAATCTTTGCCGAAATGTCTATTTGGATGTCAATCAGACCCCCAGGGGGCAGGGAGGGGGTTATTTTGCTTCTGTTTGCTGTGTGGTGTGAGACATTGTCTTACCCTTGCGAAGATGCTATAGCTCATTGAGAAGCACAGGAAAGCCGTGATTTTATGGCAAGACATGAGGCTTCATATTTGCTTTACTTTCTTTACTGAATCCTCCCAGCAGCAAAGAAACAGTTAAACAATTGAACACAAAATCAACCAATCAGAAGACATCTAGACAGTCTAGACTCCCCCCACTGCCTCTTTCTTTGCTGCTTGCCTTCAGGTGAGTCGGTTTTGATTACACTGGTCTTAGTGCTGTATATTTTGTGTACCTCTTTTTTTTTTACCATACCATTGTTTTAATTGTATTTTTTGGTCTTAATTATTGTTATTACATCTTTATTTATACTTCATTATATAGATTCTCCCCTATGGGGCCGACCTCTTGTTGGGCCACAGGGTTTTTTATTTCACTCCCGCCGGCTCTGAAGCCATTTTATCCTTTTGCACTCAGCTCTAATTATTCCCCCTTTCGGTTTATAGGTTGTCTTTGCTGACCGCGATCAAATCGCAGCTCTTTTCTTATCTTCCTGACACTTTACTAGTCGGGCCCCGCTGCCGCGAGTATTGCATAGCCTATCTGGAAGTTTTTCCTGCTTTTTTCCTGTGAGGCGAGTGGCTATTTTTGGCGCCTCCGGGGCCCCCAACTATATAGAGTAGCATGTCACCCACTTTCTACAATGCCAGTTTTGCCCAAAAATCTCCTCAGTGCCATCTTTGTGCCTAGCTGCCTAGTGCCGTCTCTGTCCCTATACAGCTACCCAAAGCCACCTGTGTCCCAAAATAGCAAGTTAGTGCCATATTTGTCTCAACATAACTAATCAGTGCCATCTTTGTGCCCAAGTAGTTTATAAGTACCTGTCAGGATTACTAATTGATCCAGCATGCAGAAATAGTATCACACCTAGGACTAAGGATAACGTCTAACCGGACCTTAGAATGGCCAGACTTAATGTACCTAAGAATAGTCAGAATACTTGCCATGGTCCGGAATACAGAATGAGACACAACGATGAGAGAAAGCCAAAAGTCAAGTATACGATCAGGAACACACTCTCGGATAACTAGCAAAGAGAAACCATGACAGGGCAATGAGTGGAAGGAAAAATTAGTTTAAATAACACTCCTGCAAATCCGATTGGCCGTACCTGACCTTTAACCCCAAAACTTGCGTGTGCGTCTTTTGCGTGACGTCACACACATGTTGACGTTGTCATTACCGTGGGCGGACATGGGGCTATCATATAGAGTAGATCCGGAGCGGCTGGCATCCACCGACATTTTACAAAAGTCAGGCATAATGACGCAGGACCACAGAGCGGTATTTCCACAACTCTCAGGAAGGTAACCTTCACTTTAATCTCCACATGGAGAGGATGGATATGTGACATTACCCCCTGCCTGAAGAACACCCACCGAGCAGGCAGGACCAGGTTTGAGAGGAAACTTGGTGTGGAAATAACGAATTTTGCGACAAGCATGGATATCAGAAGCCTGAACCGAAGAACGATCAGCAGGCCCATACCCCTTCCAATCAACTAAGTACTGCAAGAAACCACGAGAAAACCTGGAATCAATTATGTAGGAGACTTTGTACTCCTCCTGTCCAGAAACAACCAAAGGAGGATGGGGTATAACAGGGAGAGTATACCTATTACATACAAGCGGTTTGAGTAAGGAAACATGAAATTAATTAGGTATACACAAGGATGCAGGAAGAGCAAGAGAATAGGAAACAGGGTTAATTCTCCCAACAATACAAAATGGACCAAGAAATCTGGGAGCAAACTTCATGCTAGGAACTTTGAGTTTGTTGCGTGAGGATAACCACACCCGATCACCCACCTGGTACACAGGGTTGGCACCCTGCCGTTTATCAACATGAAATTTGAAACGAGCAGCCGCAGTCTCAAGAGCTAAGTGAACCTTAGTCCAAGTCTTACAAATAGAAGTAAGGCGATCATCCAGAGCAGGGATAGCCATGTCAGAGAATACAGCAGGTAGAACAGTAGGGTGACGACCGTTATTGACAAAGAAAGGACTATGTCCGGACGAGTCATGGGTAGCATTATTCTTGTGATCAGTTATGATCAGAAGGGGGTCCTTGGAACCCTCCAAAAGATGTCACCATTCCTTAAGCATTGGTATAATGGCTAAAAATTCTCTGTTACCAATATCATAGTTACGTTCAGCTGGAGATGACTTTCTGGAGAAGTACCCGCAAGGATGCAGAGAAGTATCCTGACTCTCCCTCTGGGAAAGAACAGCCCCAACTTCTGTCTCAGAGGCATCGACCTCAAGTATGAAAGATTTGCTAGTGTCAGGATGTACCAATATGTCAGCAGATGCAAACAGTTTTTTAAGAAGCTCAAAAGCCTCTTTAGCTTCTTTAGATCATGTAGTACAATTAGCCCCCTTACGTGTCATATTGTTGATGGGGGCTATTACCGAAGAGAAACCTTTGATGAGTCTCCTATAATAATTGGCAAACCCAATAAACCTTTGAATGGCTTTTAACCAATTAGGTAAAGGCCAGTGTAGAACGGCTTCTAGTTTGCGAGGGTCCATCTGAAAAACAGAGGCCGAAATATTATATCCCAAAAACTGTACCACTGTTTGATCAAATATGCACTTTTCGAGTTTGCAATATAGCCCATTTTCAAGCAAGGTTTGCGGTACTTGTTTGACATGTTTATGATGGGTCTGAAGGTTGGGAGAATAAATAAGGATATCATCCAGGTATACTAGTACAAAAGAATAAATGTAGTCTCTGAGCACATCATTGATAAAGTCATGAAATATGGCCGGAGCATTGCATAATTCGAAGGGCATGACAATGTACTCATAGTGCCCACGTCTAGTGTTAAATGCTGTTCTCCACTCATGACCCTCCTTCATTCTTACCAAATTGTAAGTACTCCTAAGGTCAAGTTTAGAGTGGAGCGGACACCTGGATGTTCGGGTCCGGCGGGTTCGGCCGAACTTTGAAAAAAAGTCCGGGATCGGGCTTGAACTTGACCCCGAACCCCATTGAAGTCAATGGGGACCCGATCTTTTGGCCACAAAAATGCCTCTAAAAAACTCCTGGAAAGGGCTAGATAGCTGCAAAAGGAAGTAAAATGGGGGTAAGTGCCCTGCAAACAAATGTGGATATGGAAATCACTTAAAATAACATAAAAATTAAAAATACAGCTGAGCCATAAAATAGCACTAGATGGAATCTTTGAATTTAGCTTTGGAAGAACATAGATCAAAATCTAAAGCATGGCTGTCAGGAGGATCAACAGAATTATCCATTTGAGAGAGGGTTGGAGTGCAGGGTATTCTCTTTCATTGTTCAAACTGTGCTCAACTCCTGATGCATGGAGAAAAGGCCTTCACAAGCCTCTGCTATTGTGTACATAGTTTATACTAAGTGACCCATAGGTTGAGGAGGCGGTGACCATGGCGGTGGAGGAGGAAGCAGCAGTGGAGGAGGAGGATGAGGTAGCCAACACTGTATTTTATGGGTTTTTTTTAATTGTGGTAGCCCACAAAATATTGGGACATACAAATAAAGAAACATTTGCGACCTGCGGTGCATTTCTTGCAGTCCTGATGCATGGAGAAAAGGCCTTCACAAGCCTCTGCTAATGTGTACCTAGTTTATACTAAGTGACCCATAAGTTGAGGAGGCGGTGACTGTGGTGGTGTAGGTGGAAGCAGCGGTGGAGGAGGAGGATGAGGTAGCCAACACTGTTTTTATATATATATATATTTTTTTTAATTGGGGTAGCCCCCAAAATATTAGGACATATAAAAAAAGACAACTCTGTTCCGCAGAGTAGCTGTTGACATTATAGTTGCGCAGGAACTTTGTTGCCTCTAGAAAACCTCGGGCAAATCACACATCCCCGTGGTGGCGACTTTGCATGCGGATGTCATCCATATCAACTTTCGATGCCAGTTTCTGCGCCTACCATGGTGACCACGGGTAAGGGGGAATCAGGGTTCCATTCCGTAAAGGGACCCTGAGAAATAGCTACCACATGCAAGGAAGGCAGCAGGCGCACAACTGACCCACTCCTGACTGGGGAAGGTAGTGATGACAAATAACAATACAGGACTCTTTAAAGGCCCTGTAATTGTAATGAGTCCACTTGAAATCCTTTAACTCTGATCAATTGGAGGGAAGTCTGGTGCAAAGTCTGGTGCTCGCAAAGTCTCATGAGGCGGTGAGCGGGAAGGCCGAAGTTATGCTGCAGCGCAGACAGGCGAGCAGGGTGACAACGCCAAAAGTGCGCACAGCCGCTACAGTGAATGTCACATCCTGACAGTGTCTGGGTCCTGGTCACCGGACTGCCCACCTCACTGTGAAGCTACAAATGGATCGTTAAATCTGGTACGAACCCGAACTTTGCAGTTCGGGTTCGCTCAAGTCTATTATGGATCCTTTGATCGCTACATGTATTACTTGGATAACTGTTAATTCTCGAGCTAATACATGCCGACGAGCGCTAGGGGACGGACGCTCCGCTTTTGCACCCTGCTCCCTCTTATGCTGTGCTGGTGCCTCTGTGCCACAGCGCCTCTTCCTTTAAAATGCACACGTCACTCGCATGATTCCATGTGGGGTCTAGGACCTCATCATCCTCCACATCATCTTCCACCCAACCACCAAAACCCTGCCCTCCTTGCCAGTATGCACACTGCAGAAAGCCACAGCAGTTGGCACCTGTGTTTTTCCAGCATGTAAAGTCTGCAAAGGACATATGGAAATTGTTTAGAATTTCCTCCAGGCAACAGTTTTCCCTATAAACTGACCTCTCAGTTTGACTTGTGAGGGTATTGCCCTAGAATTACAATATTGTATAAGTACCTCTTAGCTATTGATAACTGGTTTAAATATAGCAGCTTGTTATCTGGTAGTTTCTAGTGTAGAAAATATCAACCTGTTTTCCATCACTTAGATCTGTGTAACAAGTGTTGTAGGTGTGAAACAATATTACAAGTGACCGATGTAGTAAATTCGAATCAAAGTTACGCTTCGATATGAAGAACAGGCCCCAAAATGTACTTTTTAGCAGTTTAGGACCCAAAACATTTTTAAGTTTTAAAACTGCAATGTGACAGCAGTATTTGCAATTCTATTTGACTCTCAGATATGAAGTGCACCCCACTAATATACTACCCCACTAATGTACTATTTAGCACCAAATAAAATTACTTTTTAAAACTCAGATGTCACCGCGGTATTTGAAGCTTCTATTTGACTCTCAGATATGAAGTGCACCCCACCCCACTAATGTACTAGTCTGCAGAATTCTTTCCTAAGCTGTCCCTATCAGCGGCAGCATCCTCTCCCTACACTAATAAGACCGCATGTGCGTGCGGCGATTCGCAACTCCAGCTTATATATAGAGGCTGGGTCACATGCTGCACTGGCCAATCACAGCCATGCCATTAGTGTTCATGGCTGTGATGGCCTCTAAGGGCACACGAGTCAAACGTTTGTTGATTGTCTGCCCTGCAGCCTTTCAAAACGTGCCATTAAATCGCCAAACACCGAACTCCAACACGAACATACAGTGATATGTCCATGCTCGGGTCCGGGGTCCAAAAAACCTAATGTTTGGTACGAACCCGAACTTTTCAGTTCGGGTTCGCTTAACTCTAGTCAAGTTTAGTAAATATCTTAGCACCCTGGAGTCTGTCAAACAACTCAGAGATAAGGGGAATGGGATAGGCATTTTTTATGGTGATCTTGTTTAATGCCCTATAATCAATGCATGGGCGTAATTCTCCATCTTTTTTGGATACAAAAAAGAACCCTGCTCCAGCAGGCGAGGATGATTTACGTATATGGCCTTTAATTAAAGAATCTCTGATGTACTCTTCCATGATTCTACTCTCTTGCGGGGATACGGCATATACTGCTCCCTTAGTGCCGGGTAGCAGATCTATGGAGCAATCATAAGATCTGTGAGGAGGTAGAGTATTAGTCTGACTCTTACTGAACGCCTCTCTTAACTCCCACTACTGCATAGGAATTTCGGAAGTCTGATGTGTAGAAATAGGCAAAGTAATGATGCCTACTCTCTTAGTAATGGGTGACATGCATCTCTCACTACAGTCTTTACCCCATTCCAGTATTTCCCCCTAGCCCAGTCAATATGAAGGTTGTGCTTGATGGGCCATGGAAATCCTAATATGATGGGACAAGAAGGGGAAGCAATTATCTGAAATGTTATGTTTTCCTTGTGTAAAGCTCCTATAGTAATGCTAATAGTCATGGTTTTGTGGGTAATCAGAGGTTGAGAGAGAGCTCTCTCGTCAATAGCCTCAACGGCCAGAGGTGATGATCTCTCTTTGATAGGTAGGAAGTGTTTTTTAACAAAATACTTGTCGATAAAGTTTCCTGCCGCACCTGAGTCCATCAGGGCTTTGCATGAAAAACTTTTCTTGTTGCAGAGGGCGGTGATATCAAGGAGAAATCTAATTTGTGCATTACCAGAGGACGTATCCATCACACCGAAGACCTGTCCCCTTAAGGTTCTTAGGTGCGGAAGTTTTCCGGACGTATGAGACATCCGTATGTTTTTCTTGCCACAGAATAAACAAAGGCTCTCTTTTTTCCTATATTGTTTCTCTGCATCTGACAGTCTCATAACTCCTGCCTGCATAGGTTCAGGTTCAGACTGTACAGAGAGGCTAGGGTCAATAGGTTTGGAGAAACGAGGTGCCAGTGACATAGTCATACGTCTGGTTCTATTTCTAGTAATTTCCCTGTTCCTAAGTCGATTATCAATTTGCATCACATATGTGATAATTTAACCTTTTAGGAAAATCTTTGGCAGCAATTTCAACAAGGATAGCTTCGGAAAATCTTTCTTTTAATGCAGAGATTAATCCGCTATTAGTCTATCTCAGAAGCCAAGGTGCGGAATTCTATGGCATAATCAATGTCAAATACCTTCCAGGACCGTCACTGGTGAGATGCCAGCAATTGGCACCTGAATCCTGGCATTTTCCATCATCTACTTCTCTGTTCTCTCATTCTGGACATGTTTGCCTCCAGACTGAATAGTCAGACTGATGTATTTTTTAGTTGGCTACCAGATCTGATGTCTAAAACCATCGACGCATTCTTACAACCACGGACGTCAACAGGGACTTATGCCTTTCCACCCTTTTCGATGATCTCTCCAACTCTTCACCGTCTCAGGGTTCTTGGAGTCAACTTCTCTCTGGAGGGCCCAGGCTTGGTATCTTAAATTTCATAAAAATGTCTGCAGATTACCCTCTGCTTCTCCCAGTACCTCACAATCTCCTCCGAGATCCTTCAGGTGACTTCCATCCTCTCACCATCCAAGGTCATCTTTGACTCGTGACCTGTACTGTTTCAGGGTATCCTGGTATGTCTCAGGACTTTCGGACTCTGTTTGAGAACTCCTCTGGGATTCATGGGCCCCCGAACTCATAGAGAATACCTTTCAGCATAGTGTTTCTGGGTTAGCTGGTGTTTGGATAGGGATATTGGTGAATATTAGGCATTTCCTATCTTCTCTTTTTGACAAAGGAAATTGTTTTTAATTCTGCTATTTCGGCAGCTCATATCCTGATTCATGAGTTTCCAGTTGGGAAACATCCTTCTGTTTACAGGTTGTATTCGTCTTTGCCAATTCTGGGATATTGCTCAGGTTTGGTCATTCCTGGAAGCATGGCTTCCTAATTCAAAACTTTCCTTGCGCCAACTTTCAGCCAAGCTAGCCTTAATACTTTGTTTGGTTTTGTTTCGTCGAGTTTTTGACATCATGTTCTTTGACTTCCATACTATTGTGTTCTCCCCTGAGGGTGTACATTTTTCCGTTGTTTATCACACAAGGTTCTATCCACCTCCGTTTTGTATCCTTACTTTCCGGATAGACCTTCTCTCTGTGTTGCTCGTTGTTTACAGCTATATACCACTCTTAACTCCTCTCTTCACACTCCATCGGGACCTCTGTTTGTATCTTATGTTCGTCCTCATAACCCTGTGTCCTGTCTAAAGATTGCTCGTTGGATTAGATGGCTTCTTTGTCTTGCAGGTGTTGAAGCTTTTTTTTGGTGCACATTCGGTGCATGGCACGACTGCGTCCTCCGCCTTGGTCACCGGAGGGCTCTTTTAGACATTTTATTTTTTGCTGATTGGTCAAGAATCCACTTTCCGTACCTTCTATTTCGTACTTGCATCTCACGCTTTTTTCTTAATTACTCTCCAGACGTTAAAATAGCCAATATGGAGCCTCCTGTCTTGCCATAAAATTTGTGATTCTAGCATCAGTGACCGAATAATCTAAATTTTATTAGACAGGAGTCTGAATATTTTCCCAACCCATTGGCTTCTTTAAATCTTTCAATGTCCCACCCCTTTATTTTTTCCACTTGGGCATACTTAGGTAAGGTCTTTCATGCATCTTAATTGCCTTGTATATGGTTTTATTGTAATGTGTTTAGATTACTCTAGTTTTCATAATATATATGTACATTGCATTGCATAATTATTGACACATGACTTGTCACATTAATATTTGTTTCTGTATGACTGTCAGTCTACCAATCACACCATACTTTTACAAATTTTCTTTTCGTTCTAGTGTGAAGTTTCTGTGGAGTCCCTTCACGGCATCCTTGATTCGTCTCTTCATTGGACTCTTTATGTCTCGTTTGCTTGGTTGACTACGCTTTGTGTTTTGTGGACTATTTTCTGGTTTACACGGTTGATTTTAAATTTTAGCTGCATCAAGAAAGAGGAGTCTCATAGCTACATATTACTGTATGGATGTCTTCTGATTGGTTACATAGTTACATAGTTACATAGCTGAAAAGAGACTTGCGTCCATCAAGTTCAGCCTACCTCACATTTGATTTTTGCTGTTGATCCAAAAGAAGGCAAAAAAAAACCTAGTTTAAAGCACAATTTTGCAACAAGCTAGGAAAAAAAATCCTTCTTGACCCCAGAATGTCAGTCAGATTTATCCTTGGATCAAGCAGTTATTACCCTACATTGAAAGATTACATCCTTGAATATTCTGTTTTTGCAAGTATGCATCTAGTAGCCGTTTGAACATCAGTATGGACTCTGATAAAACCACTTCTTCAGGCAGAGAATTGCATATCCTTATTGTTCTAACAGTAAAAAAACCTTTCCTTTGCCTTAGACGAAATCTTCTTTCTTACAGTCTAAACGCATGGCCTCGTGTCCTATGTAAAGTCCGGTTTGTGAATAGATTTCCACACAATGGTTTGTATTGGCCCCGAATATATTTGTATAATGTTATCATATCCCCTCTTAGGCGACGTTTTTCTAAACTAAATAGGTTTAAATTTGTTAGCCTTTCTTCATAGCTGATATGTTCCATTCCTTTTATTAATTTTGTAGCCCGCCTCTGCACTTTTTCTAGTGCCATAATATCCTCCTTTAGAACAGGTGCCCAAAATTGTACAGCATATTCAATATGGGGTCTTACCAGTGATTTATAAAGAGGCAAAATTATATTCTTGTCCCGAGAATAAATGCCCTTTTTCATGCATGGCAATACCTTACTGGCCTTGGCCAATGCTGATTGACATTGCACATTGTTACATAGTTTGTTGTCTATAACAATTCCCAAGTCCTTTTCGTGTGTTGTTATCCCTAATTCGCTTCCATTAAGGGTATACGTTGCTTGTGTATTCTTTACACTGAAGTGCATAACTTTGCATTTTTCAACATTAAATTTCATCTACCATTTGAGTGCCCAGTCCCCCAGTCTACCTATATCCCTCGGCAGCAAAGTAATATCTTGCTCACATTGTATTGTTTTACAAAGTTTTGTGTCATCCTCAAACACTGAAACATGACTTTCAATGCGGTCTTCAAGATCATTTATAAACATGTTAAATAGAAGGGGTCCCAGAACATACCCCTGAGGGACACCACTTGCCACCTCTGTCCAGCTTGAAAAGGTACCATTAATGACAACTCTTTGTACTCTGTTTTTAAGCCAATGTTGGTTGATTTTGTTTTCAATTGTTTAACTGTTTCTTTGCTGCTGGAAGGATTCAGTAAAGAAAGTAAAGCAA